TCATGCCACTGCACTCCAGCCTGGCGACAGAGTAAGACTCCATCTCAAAAAAAAAAAAGAAAAAAAAGAAAAAGAAAAAAAATGGGTAGAGGGCTAGAGTTTCTGTTCTTAGAATATCTCTGGAAGGAAACAAAGAAACGGGTCACAGCATCCCCTATGGGACAGGGTTGAGAGTCAAATTACTTTTTTTTTTGAGATGGAGTCGCGCTCTATCGCCCAGGCTGGAGTTGCAGTGGCACGATCTCGGGTCACTGCAACCTCTGCCTCCTGGGTTCAATCAATTCTTTTGCCTCAGCCTACTGAGTAGCTTGAGTTACAGGTGCCTGCCACCACACCTGGCTAACTTTTGTATTTTTAGTAGAGACAGGGCTTCATCATGTTGGCCAGGCTTGTCTTGAACTCCTGACCTCAAGTGATCCACCCACTTAGGCCTCCCAAAGTGTTGGGATTACAGACGTGAGCTACCGCACCTGGCCATTTTTTTTTTGGTTAAAAACCAGGCTCATTTGACTCCCAAGCCCCAAGCTACGCCAGGGTGCCTTTTCCAACCTTCGAGGGTCCCTCTGCTTCGCCACTTTTTGTGACTGTGGCGGCCCCTGGGGAGTGCCCACCTGTGTGTCTGTCACCTGAGGCCTTAAAGGCCAGATGGCCTGCTGGGGGCTGGGACTGGGGCCTGGTGTCCTGGGAGCCTGGGGAAGGTCCAGGGCAGACCCGACCCCCCACCCACCCCTCTCCCCTCACTTACATGGCACTGGCCGTATAGCTGGCATCGCCGCCCTCCACATACTGCACCTGGCTGGAGTATACGTGTGGGACGGGCACCTGCTGGAGCTGCTGCACCTGGGGCAGAGGAAGGGCACGTGGAGGGTCAGGCGTGGGCCAGCTCCTACAGTTCTGCCTCTAAAGGGCTGGTGTCCACCCAGGCTATCCCTGACGCCCAGCTCCCGGACCCCCAGGGTGGCTTCCGGACTCTCAACAAAACACCCTGGAGGAGGCCAGGGCTGGGGATCAGATCAGGAAGAGCTGTGTCAGGAGGAGAAGCCGGGACTCTCGGCTTCGACTGGGGACAGCAAGGGCAGTGATGGGCAGTGGAGGGGACCCGAGACAGGGTCCTGCAGTGGGCGTGAAGGTTGGACCCCAGGCACAGGGGCAAGACTATCGCTGGAGCCAGAGCGTGGAGCCACAGAAAGGGCCTCAGGGGCGGGGCCTGGAAACAGGGCACAGGATGTGAGGGGCGGAGCCTGGGGCCCCGGTTGGTGGGACAGAACCTGGAATCACTGACAGGGCCTTAGGGGCGGGGTCTGAGTCCCCCAACCTCCATCCCCCCACCCTTGTCTGCAGGGGCGGAGCTGGGACCTGGACTGGGCTTGGGTGGGGAGTCAGAGGCGGGTCCCCAGACCGACCCGTCGGGCGGAGGTGGGGTCTACAGGGCTTGCGGGGCCT